CATTTTAAGTAAAAGCTAAAATAGAACAAAAACAACAGCAACAATATGAAAAAAAGTATAAAATATGCTAACGCATAATTTATGCCAACCATAATAACAACAACAACAACTACAAAACATGATCCAGCATGCAAAGTATAAAAAATATAAACAATAAAGTCTGCATAAAATTTTCTTCAACAAGAAAAACAATAGAGTAAAAACTTGAGAGTAAGAAAATATACAAATATTTTGCCATAATGAAAAAGACCGTTAGAAAAAAGTGTGAAGGAATAATAAATTTTCATTATAAAAGAAAACATGAGACATTGTCAAAATATTTGAAAAGAAAAGAGAAATGAAATTGGAGTAGCGGTGAGTTGAAGAGAGAGAGAAAGAGTAGGAGTTTGAAAATTTAAAATGGGATAATAAGGTCCTTTAACTTGGGTATATTAGGCAAGAGAAGAAAAAATACGACTTTAAGCAAAGTAATAAAATACGTATATTAAATATCTTATGGTTTTGAAAGTTTTTTTAAATAAAAATAAGAGAGTTTATTAAAAATTTTGTATTATTTCTAAAAAAAAACTTTTTATGAAATATTCTCTGAAATAACAATCAGAGGGCCCCTTTAAAGGCCCATGTATTAAATTTTGAATTATAAATAGTTTTATGCAAACAAAAAAACTTATTTGTATATTAATAAATATTAATACATTTATAAATATTATGAAAATTTTTAGTAATATTCATAGAAATAACATTTAACATATTCATATTGAGTATTTCAAGGAGTAAGAATCATTATACTGTAAAAACCACCCTAATATTTACATATTTATGTGAGAATGTGTGATTTGACACATGTGAATAAAAACGATAAATTTTTTGATAAGAAAATAACAATAACAAAAACATTTTTATGAAAAGTTTACAAATAAATAAAAAATATAACAAACATCATTGAATATGTTACAAACTCCTTTGTAAGGATAACAAAAGTTTCACATACAAACAACATTAATAACGAGAGACGAAGGAAACAGCCGCAACAACAACATCCATACACAAAACATCAGCTTTTAACAACTGTCATACTCTAATATAACAACAAAAACCCTAAACCCTCTTCCATCCAAAAGTCGCTGACAACAACAATAACAAACATTTAACAACTCGTTTTAAAAGAAGACAATAGAAACATTCTATCTCCATTGCTTTAGCTTGGAGTTTAATATAATCAATAATACACGACCCACACATACTAACATACATAAAGTCAGGAATAACTAACACCCATATCTTCGTATTGAAAGTCGGGTGTTAATTTTTTTCTCTACATTTGTTTACCTTTTTTCCACCGTTATTTTAAATTTATTTGTAAGTATTTTCTTGTTGTTTGGTAACATGAATTTTCTTTATTGTTGTTGTAAAATGAAAGGGGTTTTTGTTGACGACAGCAGAAGCAACAACAACACCAACACTTCCATTTAAATGTTGAAAACATAAAATTCTCATAAATGAGAAAATTATGGAAAAAATTGCTCAAGTGTCCAAATTTATATGTTTACTAGAGCAGAGGAGTTTGTAAATAATTTATGAATAAATCATGAAGATTTACTAAAGAGAAATTTATAAATTTGCTTGGAAACACATACAAAAGATAAAAAGTAAAAAGAAAAATTATGTTTTAATCAAAAGTTTCCTAGATATTTAGAATTAAAAATTATAAAGTTATAAGGTTATAAATTTATAAAGTTATAAGGTTATAAAGTTATAAAGTTATAAGGTTATAAAGTTATGAAGTTATAAGGTTATAAAGTTATAAAGTTATAAAGTTATAAAGTTATAAAGTTATAAAGTTATAAAGTTATAAAGTTATAAAGTTATAAAGTTATAAAGTTGTAAAGTTGTAAAGTTATAAAGTTATAATGTTGTGAAATATTAAAGTATCGTATGCTCCTCAATGAGCTCTTTCAAAACCCTTTCTATGAGCTGGATTCATCCAAAATTAGGTAATTTGGGAACGATAGGAATTAGAGCCAGTAGATCCTTAAACATTAACACTAAAATATTTAAAATTTCATAAAATCCTGATTAATAAATATCTGAAAATATTTTGTACGAAATGTTCACCCTATACGTATGATTAATATTAATTAATATTTTTTAATAAATTTGTTAGAAAAGCCACAAAATTTTAACATAATTCAAGTTTTTTTAAACAAAATTTAAGTTTATAATGCAGTCATCTCTTTGGTATCTACAATATTGAAAGTTTTAATTTTATGCAAATCTTTAAAGTAGTAAGATGAAATGACAATTTTTCTTTTATTTAAATGAAAATTAAATGAATTTTCTCCCTTTTATAGTTTTTGAGACACTTTTTGTTACAAATATATTTATCTGTTGCCTTATGTCTAGACAGTTATATTCACTTAAATAATGATAAATAATCACAACAAACACAAAGCTGCAGGAACTTAATTAAGTTTTGTTTGTGTCACATGCAAAATACACACACACAAAAACAACAGAAAGGATAAAGGACATTTATTTAGAACAGTTTTGAGGCGTAAACACACAGACACACACTTACTGTCTCAGTTAGTATCATTCTTAACAGCATCTCAACATCATCATTATGATAATCATCTGTTTAGAACGTTAATTTTAGCCATAAACATTAACGAAATTTTTCTTCAATTATAATTTTGTTAAATGTTTGTTTTACTTAAGATACAAGTTTGCTAAAGCAACCATATGGTCTTTGTTTGGATTTGTTTATTTTGAAAGGATATTTTATCCGTAAAAAGAGATTTGCATCTTTAGCTTCTATTGTAGGAAGGCAGGGAGAGGAGGAGTATAATAGAGTTGGAGTCTTATTTATAGACTAACTGTCGATGAAGTCAGAATTTTTGTGAAATCTAGTCTGGTCTATAGCCTAGTCTATAGTCTAGTCTATAGTCTAGTCTATAGTCTAGTCTATAGTCTAGTCTATAGTCTAGTCTATAGTCTAGTCTATAGTCTAGTCTATAGTCTAGTCTATAGTCTAGTCTATAGTCTAGTCTATAGTCTAGTCTATAGTCTAGTCTAGTCTATAGTCTAGTCTATAGTCTAGTCTATAGTCTAGTCTATAGTCAAGTCTATAGTCTAGTCTATAGTCTAGTCTATAGTCTAGTCTATAGTCTAGTCTATAGTCTAGTCTATAGTCTAGTCTATAGTCTAGTCTATAGTCTAGTCTATAGTCTAGTCTATAGTCTAGTCTATAGTCTAGTCTATAGTCTAGTCTATAGTCTAGTCTATAGTCTAGTCTATAGTCTAGTCTATAGTCTAGTCTATAGTCTAGTCTATAGTCTAGTCTATTGTCTAGTCTATAGTCTAGTCTATAGTCTAGTCTATAGTCTAGTCTATAGTCTAGTCTATAGACTAGTCTATAGTCTAGTCTATAGTCTAGTCTATAGTCTAGTCTATAGTCTAGTCTATAGTCTAGTCTATAGTGTAGTCTACAGTATAGTCTATAGTCTAGTCTATAGTCTAGTTTATAGTATAGTCTATAGTCTAGTCTATAGTATATTCTATAGTCTTGTCTATAGTCTAGTCTATAGTCTAGTCTATAGTCTAGTCTATAGTCTAGTCTATAGTATAGTCTATAGTCTATTCTATAGTCCAGTCTATAGTCTAGTCTATAGTCTAGTCTATAGTCTAGTCTATAGTCTAGTCTATAGTCTAGTCTATAGTCTAGTCTAGTCTATAGTCCTATAGTCTAGTCTAGTCTAGTCTAGTCTAGTCTAGTCTAGTCTAGTCTAGTCTAGTCTAGTCTAGTCTAGTCTAGTCTAGTCTAGTCTAGTCTAGTCTAGTCTAGTCTAGTCTAGTCTAGTCTAGTCTAGTCTAGTCTAGTCTAGTCTAGTCTAGTCTATAGTCTATACTCTATAGTCTAGTCTAGTCTATAGTCTAGTCTAGTCTATAGTCTAGTCTAGTCTATAGTCTAGTCTAGTCTAGTCTAGTCTAGACTAGTCTATAGTCTAGTCTATAGTCTAGTCTATAGTCTAGTCAATAGTCTAGTCTATAGTCTAGTCTATAGTCTAGTCTATAGTCTAGTCTATAGTCTAGTCTATAGTCTAGTCTATAGTCTAGTCTATAGTCTAGTCTATAGCCTAGTCTATAGTCTAGTCTATAGTCTAGTCTATAGTCTAGTATATAGTCTAGTCTATAGTCTAGTCTATAGTCTAGTCTATAGTCTAGTTTATAGTCTAGTCTATAGTCTAGTCTATAGTCTAGTCTATAGTCTAGTCTATAGTCTAGTCTATAGTCTAGTCCATAGTCTAGTCCATAGTCTAGTCCATAGTCTAGTCTATAGTCTAGTCTATAGTCTAGTCTATAGTCTAGTCTATAGTCTAGTCTATAGTCTAGTCTATAGTCTAGTCTAGTCTAGTCTATAGTCTAGTCTATAGTCTAGTCTATAGTCTATTCAATAGTCTAGTCTATAGTCTAGTATTTAGTCTAGTCTATAGTCTACAGTTTTGGTATAAGTCCGTACTATTGGTCCATGCCTGGTTGATGTCTTTACTTAAACATTTTATTTTTCTTAAAACTAACATGCCTTAAACTATATGAGAAGAATACCCCTGATTTAATGAGAAAGGTGAAACACCCCGACATAAAACAAAATTCCTTTTTTAAATTCCCCCACAAGACGCGTCATTAGTAAATTTGTTACTTAAAACAAAAGAACTTTAAATGCTGCCTTAAGCATAAAAAACTATAGAAAATTCTTATTAAAATGCTTACAACAATTGGCTTCATCAGATTTATCACGACAATCGGGACTGCCGTCACACCACCAACTTTGTGGTATACACTGTTCGCCATTTTTACATTTAACCTCATACGTTTTGCATAAACTTACTACAAAAATTATGGGGAAAGAATAGTTCAAAAATTGTCGTGTGAAAAAAGTGTAAAATTGTGTTTGTGTAATTAAGTAAAAAAAGGAAAAAAATTTAAAATCAAAAACTTACTGCACAATCCGGGAAATTCATCAGAACCATCAGAGCAATCCTTTTCTTGATCACAGCGCCATCTGTTGGGTATACATTTGCCATTGTTGCAACGAAACTGTTCGACACCACAAGTTGATTCTAAAATTATAATAAAAAAGACAATTTTAAATTAATTAAATTTTATAATTGAAAACTAACGACTGCTCATTTTTATTTAATATTTAATTAAGTTTAAAAGTCTAGTAGTCTATTAAATTCCCTTTCCTTTGAGATTTGCTTTAAATTATTAAATTCATTTTTTCTCTTTCTCCCTCTGTCTATCCCTCACTGTTTTCTGTTGCCCATTGTTTGTAATGAAAAACCTCATATTTATATTTTCTTTAAGTAGCCAATTTTCGGTCTAATATTTTATTACAATTTTATATTCATGTTTTATATCACTTTTCTTTTTTATAATTTTATTTTGCGTCTTAAGTTATTTATGGCCTGTCAACGTTTGAAAATTTGTGTTACCAAGACAAAAAACAACAATTTTTTTCGCTTGTTGTCAAAAAAAAGGACAGGTCCAAGAAAAGTGTGATTAAAAGTTTTATATTGGGATGTTTATTAAGCAGCCAAAAAAACACCACACAGTGGGAAAATAAAGGAAAAATGTAGTTACTATTAACATAAACCTAACCTAAGGATAAATTCTTTAAAATAAATTTCGGATTTTTCCAATGAAAACTTAAATTTTTTAAAATATTTCAAATTTAACATAAAAATTTGATTTTTTGATGAAAATTAAAATTTTTCATAAAAATTCCAATTTTTATTAAAAATTTTTTTTTTTAAAATTTTAAAATTTAAACTTTCTAACTCATAACTTTATAACTCCTTTATAACTGCATAACTTTATATTTTTATAACTTTATAACTTTATAATTTTATAACTTTATAACTTTATAACTTTATAGCTTTATAACTTTATAACTTTATAACTTTATAACTTTATAACTTTATAACTTTATAACTTTATAGCTTTATAACTTTATAGCTTTATAACTTTATAGCTTTATAACTTTATAACTTTATAACTTTATAGCTTTATAACTTTATAACTTTATAACTTTATAACTTTATAACTTTATAACTTTATAACTTTATAACTTTATAACTTTATAAATTTATAACTTTATAACTTTATAACTTTATAACTTTATAACTTTATGACTTTATGACTTTATAGCTTTATAACTTTATAACTTAAAGCATTATAACTTTATAACTTAAAGCACTATAACTTTATAACTTTATTACTTTATAACTTTATAACTTTATAACTTTATAGCTTTATAACTTTATAACTTAAAGCATTATAACTTTATAACTTTATTACTTTATAACTTTATATCTTTATAACTGTATTTCATAATGTATTTTATAAAATTAATTAAGAAATTAAAAAAAAATTAAAAAAAAAATTATACATCCAGACACATTAATCTGCTTAAGATATTTTTTTATTTAAATCAATTTTTTTTAATATTTGCCGTTTTAATTAAGCTGCACCTTTTTAAAAAAAACAGAAATGGATAAAAAATCTAGCCACAGAATTTTTAGCTAATAAACACCATAAACAAAATAATAAATGTCAACATTTCATTATTAAGACTGTTTTGTGTGATATTATCCTTAAGCAAAGATCTGTTTAAATTAACGCATTTGCTCTATAGGACAGGGAGAGAAAAAAATCCAATTTAACATGAAAAAAGTAGACAGTAGACTGATATAAATATCAACCATATTTGGGTTTTAATGTACTCTGCTAAAGCTTATTTCTATTTAAACATTAATACTCATTAAATGCACAGCAAGTAGATAAAGTATATAATAAACTGAACTGGACAAATAACAACAGCAAATTAAAAATGGACAGAGGAAAATGTGGGTGAAAAAATATTTATTATGCCAAGGTATGAAACCCACTTAAAAAAGTACATCAAAAAGATAAAATTTTAAAATCAGGGAATTAGGATGATTTTTTTTAATAAAGAAACAATTAATATGTTTGGTCATGTTTTAAGAGATTTAGGTTTATAAAGAAATTATTCTAAATGAAATATTGAAGGCAATTTACATACATTTATTAGAAAGCAGGATTTTTGCCTTAATTTCTTTATAAACTTATAAAAATACATTACACTGTCTACTTCTCAGCCCACTTAGCAAATGCCAATGTGAGCCGAAGTAACTAACTACTTAAGTGTAAAATCATGTACATTCGAAGAACATCTCATATAACAGTTTATTTAGAATAAAAGCTTAGGCAAACAATAACATTTGTTATAATTCTCACACACAATAACGACATACAAACAAACATTACTAAATGTGTTGTTTGATTGTGTCCCTCTCACTTTTCCTCTCTCTCAGTTAACTGCTGACTCTTGTACTCAGTAGTTGTAAATAAACATTAGTAACCGCAATTTACACGAGTAAACAAAACGAGCAAGCATAAACAACAACACGAAAGCAACAAATACAACAACAACAATCCCCAGTAAATACATAAAAACAGGTTTTTGTTGTAGTATAACTGTGGTCGATATTACTGATGTTGTTATTGTTGCTTTAAGAGAAGTATAGTAATGGCAGCAGTATGTCCTTGCAGGAACGGAAATTTTGCTAAAAATTTAATTGAACTCAGTCGTTATAAAGTTATAAAGTTATAAAGTTATGACGTTTCTTAACACCAGTTTAAAAAATAACTGCTTTTAATTTTTAAATGCTTTTATTAATCGTTAGACTTCAATCAGAAATCTTTAACGACCCCCAAAACCACCCATGCCCCCCAGACCACCGAAACCACCCATGCTGCCTTGGCCACCAAAACCTCCAAATCCACCATCATAATTGTCGTCATCAAAGCCGTCATCGATAGCAGGAAGTCCATTTGAAATGTCATCCATAGCGAAACCGCTATCTTCTATATCCTCATCAACACAGTCATCTGATCCAGCACTTAGAACTTCAAACTCATCAGGATTACTATCGATACCACCAAATCCTAAGTCCCGTATGGGAGGACCATTGTACATACCAACGAAACCGCCGCCCCAACGGGGATCTATATAACTTGGACGGCCACCTACAAAACCTGCTCCTCCTTCACCACCTCCATCACCACCTCCTCCGCCACCAGCTCCACCATAACTCCCAAAACGATGAGGTTTAGCTTGAGCACAAACAGTTAAAACAGCCAGAGCAATAAATAATTTCATAATAACTGCAGTCTATCAGCTCAATTTGATAAACTGTTGCCAAAAACGAAATTTGAACTTATTTATAGAAACTCAAGCTACGTTCAGACCTGTAAAATATTTGGTCCAAATATTTGTTATAAAATATTTATAAAGTTGCGTCAAACAAACGCAATATTTATTTCATGTTCAGACTTGATCAAATATTTGATGGTATTGTTTTATCAAACAGTGCAAAAATAATTTGGTTCAAACACAAACATGTTTTGCAGCCACAGAATATCGTATATTTTCATGCAAGAAAAAAGCAATTTGGCAATTTGTTTTAATTTTAACTATTTTTATTAGGTTTAAAATTAAATTTTTATAATAAAAGTGTATAATATTAATATATAACACGATTGAAAAAACTTTGTTTGTCGAATATGAACATAAAATATTTCATGTTTACAAACAGCAATGCGGATGATTTTCATAAAACAAATTGATTTGCTGGCAAATAAATATTTTCTCATTGTTTCATCAATGTGAACACCAAAAGTCAAATAATTTACGTCATTTTGGTAAAATAATTATTTGATCTTGCAAACCAAATGTAAGATCAAACAGCGTCAATGACAGCTGTTCTTTGTTTATTTTCTGAAAATGAGTGTTATCACCTCATACAAAAATGTAAATAGTCGCTTATATGACTGGTTTTATTTTATTTTTTATAAAATATAAATCTGAGACAAAGTTGTGTCATTTAATTGAAATTCAAGCAATTGCGTAAATTAATGATAATTATTATTTTTGTTGTTTGTTTTGTTATTTATTGGTTGGTAACAACATACTATATATAGTTATGCTACATAATATATGCATCTATAGTCTAGTTTGCAGTCTAGTCCAACGGTTCCCAAATTGGAATTTATGGACTATGACAATTTTCGGATGAACAATTACATATTTAGAACAATAAGATATCAAAATATGTATGGGGTCCGCGAATTTAAATAAATTCCTCTAGGGGTCCGCGAAGTAAAAACCGGGGGAACCGCTGGTCTAGTCTATAGTCAAGCTATAGTTTAGTCTATAGTCTTGTCTATACTCTAGTTTATAGTATTGTTTATAGTCTAGTCTATAGGTTATAATCTAGTCTATAGTTTAGTAATTAATTGAGAAATTATTTAATTAATTTATTACTCAATTTATTTAAACAATTATTTATTATATTAATCTATAATTTTCAATTTTATAGATATGTAATTTAATGAAAATTATTTATAATTTGGTTATTTCCGGGCTTATAGCGATTTTTTTGAAAACGCTATAAACCGTTCCAAACAACCAAGCTTTTTCGCCACATTGACTATACTAAATAGCAACAACATGACAGTAAAGATCCACCATCTATCTCTTTTCCACTTGCACAAGGTATTGAAATGTAATTTCAATACCTTGTGCAAGTCTATCTATGTCTTTTCCACTTGCACAAGGTATTGAAATGTAATTTCAATACCTTGTGCAAGTCTATCTATCTCTTTTCCACTTGCACAAGGTATTGAAATGTAATTTGTATTTTTTTGTTGTAAAATTTTGATGAAAAACAATATTAAATGAAATTTTAGAATATATAGAAGTTATTATTCAATGATATAGCTTTTTAGTAAATATAAACACATATATTTTTGGCTTTTGGTTTGGTTGCGCATTAGCTGTTCTTGTTGTTATGTTCCTCTTTGCCTGCAAACAAAATCTTGTTTTTTTACAGTTTTATCCGTCAATTGTTTTACGAAATTATTTGTTGTAATGTGAACACCGGGCAAACAAACTTTTACTATTTGTATTGAATTGTGTTTGGCTGTGTTTCTTCAAACAAAACGTCAAAATAGAAATACTCATTTTAAGCACATT